GGTGATTTCTCACTTTCCCTTTCACTGTCTGTCTGGTGAGCACATGCACCCTACTGTAAAAACCCAAAAAAAATAATAAAATAAAATAAATTAATTTACTCTAGTAATAATATTGGAATTTCTCTCTCAAGGGACTTTATTTTTTTTAATTTATTTTTTTGGAGAGGTTTCTGCTATAGGGTGCGTGCGCTCGTCAGACAGCAGGGGATGGCCACGCCGCAATCCCTTCTCCATTCTCCTCTCAGGATCTTGGGCACGCACGCACACATGCCCGGCGTGAGTTTAAGTTGCCGGGTCCGGGACTTGAACCGTGGTCGACTACAAGGGAGTCCAGTGACATAGCCATTACGCTAACTGCTGGTTCCAACAAGGGACTTTATTTTAAACTTAATAGTTACCGGGAACCAGCAGTTAGCGTAATGGCTATGTCGCTGGACTCCCACGTAGTCGACCGCGGTTCGTGTCCCGGACCCGGTGGCTTAAAACTCACGCCGGGCGCGTGTGCGTGCGTGCCCAAGATCCCAAGAGGAGAATGGAGGAGAAGGGATTGTGGTGTGACCATCCCCCCTGGGGGGTGATTTCTCGCTTTCTGTCTCTATGTCTCTCTCTGTCTGTCTGGCGAGCGCACGCGCCCTACAGTGAAAATCTCTCCAAAAAAAAAAAAAAAGAAACTTAATTGTTACCCAGCACTTACACCTTTTGACTGAATGCTTCTGCTGTTCCAAGAGGGTATCCTCCAACAGAGCCCCAGGAACACTTCCAGTGCTAGGTAATCTCATTTTAATACACCTCAATAAATGCTCTTCTGGAGCACCAGAAGTTTCTAAACAAACTACTTCCCCTGAAGTTCTCACTTTATGGTTTTTCAACCAGCAAGTGCTACAAGTTTCAGTACATTCTCTGGAGCCCTTTCAACCCACACAACTGTTTTTATTTGCTTCATTTTATTTATGATTTGACATAAACATGTATTTGCACAGGTAGTTCTGTACCTAAAAATAAAAGTAAAAACATGTTCTAGGGAAACAGAGTGTCTTTCAAGGTATGACAGGTATGATCTAAAATCACATTATTTTCTATCTTTTAAAAGAATGGTTAGTCTCAATTTAGACAGAATGCTTTCTTTAGAAATAAATTAAACAGACTGTCACTCACTTGCATAACAAAGTCAGGATAACATCACTACAGGTGACACCCAGTGAAACAGAAGATGGCAGGAGACAGATTCAAGCAAGAGAAATACAGAAAACCACATTTTCCATGTGGCCAAAACTACCAAACCCCATCTATTGTTTTCAAGCAAATTCCATTGAATAAATAGCCTTAGACAGATATGGTACCAATTCTAGATTAACTTCAAACAGTGGTTTTCATACTGTAGGATTGGCCAGAAAATTATAAAATTGAGTTAATTTTTTGTTATCTTTTTTTTTTTTTTTTAATTTGCTAGAGGGCATGTGTGCTAACCAAAGAGAAAAAGAGAGAGAGAAAAAATACCCTCCTTGGGGGAGTCACACCACAATTCCCTCTGCTCCATTTCTCCTTTTGGGATTTTTGGGTATACATGCATAAGTACTCAGCATGTTTTTCAAGGGTCCAGGACTTGAACCACAAAGTTGTCATATGGGATCAAACTATCTTAACTATTATACCATCAGAAGGCCTTGGGAAGGTCTAGTATTACTTCATATACACATATACATACTTGCATACTGGATCACAAGGACAAATATGTTTACTGAGGGTTTGAAAAATACTCTATAGAATATAAATATTAATTTTTGTCTTGAAAATTTCAGTTCCGAAGTGATTAATATGTATAATTATCATCTTTTTAAAGAATATACACATGGGTCTATGCACACTTGATTTGTCCAGTTATGTCCTAACATAATTGAAATAGGATTAGAGCCAAGTCGTCTGATTCTCAGCTATTAACTGCTAATAAGAGCTATTGTTTATTGGGCACCAAGTTAAACCAGGGACTATCCCAGACATTTGACATAAATTATCTTATTGACTTCTCAGTATATCTCTAAGGTACAAATCATTAGCCTGATTTCATAGAGGAGAAAATGCTACTCAAGAGGGTATAGCAATTTGCCCAGGATCTCATGGCCAGGAAGTGGCAGAGCTGGGATTAGATACTGCATTATCAGGGTGTAGTATCCTAAATTACTATACATGCAAATTTCAGGAAACAACTATTTAAAATGAGTATTTCTGGGAATCACCCCTTGAATATTACATTTAGGAAAACTCAGATTACATAAACCCGCTCAGAGAAGAGAGCCACTGTAAAGTGGGCATATCCTCTATTACAGGGTTTCAGGCATCAGAATGACATGTTTAGAAGGTGGCCGAATTTCTCAGTCCAGGAAGAGTTCTAGGAGTCCTTACTCCCAGTTAGCACACAAAATTGCCAAATTGTAAAAAGTAATGTCCAGGAAGATTCTTTGGCACCTTAGCAACCACATTTTTAAAATTCTCATCATTTTTGGTGGTCAAAGGTCAACCTAGAAAGAGTTATAAGAACTTTGCTCAGAATTGTAGCCTGAATGACATCAGGGTGGTAGTGTTAACTCTGCTGCCTTAAAGGGAATCCAAGGATGTATATAATTGAATATGCTGTCACCTCCCACCTCCCCCAAAATCAGATCTGCCCACATAGGTAACTAAGCAGAGACATTCCAAAGATGTAATATACCGCACTTAAGACTTCAAAGTACAGGGTGAATATCCTTATCTTTTTTTTTTTTTTTTTAATTTGCTAGAGGGCATGTGTGCTAACCAAAGAGAAAAAGAGAGAGAGAAAAAATACCCTCCTTGGGGGAGTCACACCACAATTCCCTCTGCTCCATTTCTCCTTTTGGGATTTTTGGGTATACATGCATAAGTACTCAGCATGTTTTTCAAGGGTCCAGGACTTGAACCACAAAGTTGTCATATGGGATCAAACTATCTTAACTATTATACCATCAGAAGGCCTTGGGAAGGTCTAGTATTACTTCATATACACATATACATACTTGCATACTGGATCACAAGGACAAATATGTTTACTGAGGGTTTGAAAAATACTCTATAGAATATAAATATTAATTTTTGTCTTGAAAATTTCAGTTCCGAAGTGATTAATATGTATAATTATCATCTTTTTAAAGAATATACACATGGGTCTATGCACACTTGATTTGTCCAGTTATGTCCTAACATAATTGAAATAGGATTAGAGCCAAGTCGTCTGATTCTCAGCTATTAACTGCTAATAAGAGCTATTGTTTATTGGGCACCAAGTTAAACCAGGGACTATCCCAGACATTTGACATAAATTATCTTATTGACTTCTCAGTATATCTCTAAGGTACAAATCATTAGCCTGATTTCATAGAGGAGAAAATGCTACTCAAGAGGGTATAGCAATTTGCCCAGGATCTCATGGCCAGGAAGTGGCAGAGCTGGGATTAGATACTGCATTATCAGGGTGTAGTATCCTAAATTACTATACATGCAAATTTCAGGAAACAACTATTTAAAATGAGTATTTCTGGGAATCACCCCTTGAATATTACATTTAGGAAAACTCAGATTACATAAACCCGCTCAGAGAAGAGAGCCACTGTAAAGTGGGCATATCCTCTATTACAGGGTTTCAGGCATCAGAATGACATGTTTAGAAGGTGGCCGAATTTCTCAGTCCAGGAAGAGTTCTAGGAGTCCTTACTCCCAGTTAGCACACAAAATTGCCAAATTGTAAAAAGTAATGTCCAGGAAGATTCTTTGGCACCTTAGCAACCACATTTTTAAAATTCTCATCATTTTTGGTGGTCAAAGGTCAACCTAGAAAGAGTTATAAGAACTTTGCTCAGAATTGTAGCCTGAATGACATCAGGGTGGTAGTGTTAACTCTGCTGCCTTAAAGGGAATCCAAGGATGTATATAATTGAATATGCTGTCACCTCCCACCTCCCCCAAAATCAGATCTGCCCACATAGGTAACTAAGCAGAGACATTCCAAAGATGTAATATACCGCACTTAAGACTTCAAAGTACAGGGTGAATATCCTTTATCTGAAATGCTTGGGACAAGAAGTGTTTGGGATTTCAGAATTTTGTTTAGATTCTGAAATACCTGCATATATAAAAAAGATACCCTTGGGACCAGCAGTTGGTGTAAAGGCTACATTGCTGGATTCCCATGTAGTCGACCACAGTTTGTGTCCCGGACCCAGTGGCTTAAATTCATGCCAGGCTCCTGTGCATGTGTGCCCAAGATCCTGAGAGGAGAATGAAGGAGATGGGATTGTAGCATGGCCATCTCCCCTGGGGGGTGGTTTCTTGCTTTCTATCTCTCTGTCTCTCTCTGTCTTTCTGGTAAGCGCACACCCCCTATAGCAAAAACCTTCCCCTCCACACATAAATAAAAAGCTACCCTAGGGAAGGGACCCAAGTCTGTGTATAATGTATGTATTTATGTATATACATGCACACAGTACTTCTGTGTTGCAGTACTGTGGAACAGGTCACACAAGGTCAAGTGTAGAATTTTCCCTGTGTGGAATCATGTCAGTGCTTAAAGAGTTTAAACTTTTGGAGCATTTCAGATTTTGGATTAGGGATGCTCAATTTATATAAAAATTCGCTTTGTGCATGGACGTGTAAGTAAACGTATAATATATTCTATGCTGCGGCAGAGTGGGGAGGTCTATTCTCCTGGTGAGAATTTCTGGGTAAGTTTATAGAGAAATACAAATGTGTGACCAAAGAACATACTTTCTTCTTGTTTTCCTACAATGGAAAGCCACATTAAGGTTCTAATAAATAGCATAAAGAGTGTTTCAAACTCTGTCAGGAAAACCTAATCTAAGACTTTTCACCATTTTTAATTCACATAGGTTCCCATAAAGATTATTGCGAATCACTTTTATGCAAACACCAAAAACTGCAATTAGCCACGTATCTGCTTCACGGCCTATGATAAGGCTGTCAAGCCATCTCACCATTCCAATACACTTCCTGAGGATGCTCCAGATACTGAAGTCATTCCTGGAAAACATTGGTGAAGGCAAGCTCGTTCTGAAAAGAGAAAAGAAAAGGAGTTTTTTGAATGCCATTGAATTTGGGAAGGAAAAGTTTTCCCTGGATATGGAACTGTAGACGTACACAGAGAGACACTATAAAGGTGAGTTGTCACCAACAGGACCAAATAGGGTCAATCTGGAGTGTACTTGTTCACTGCTATTTCGGTCCCTGGGAAGCTCTGTGGTAAATCAACTGGTCCTCTGTCTACTCGTGTTCTTACCCAAAGTCTCCCAGTCCTTTCTGATGTTTGGTGTTTAGCTGTTTAAAACACCTCAGCAGTGCAGGATCCTTTCACTCACTGGCATACCTGACCCTATTGTTTCATTCAAAACAAACCCAGCATGCTTTTTTTTTTTTTAATTCTATAGGGTGTGTGTGCTCGCCAAACAGACAGAGAGAGACAGAGAGACAGAAATCAGCCCCCAGGGGGGATAGCCACACCGCAATCCCTTCTCCTCCATTCTCCTCTCGGGATCTTGGGCACACACGCATACGCACCCGGCATGAATTTTAAACCACCAGATCTGGGACGCGAACCACGGTCGACTACGTGGGAGTCCAGCGACATAGCCATTACGCTAACTGCTGGTCCGGAAACCCAGCATGTTTTAAGACTTAATAAATAAGCATAATCTATTGCTAAATAATGTAAACAAAATGCTCTCACAGAGTCTATTTAAATATTTTTAAGAGGTTAAAGGGAAAAAAAGGCAAACTATAAAAACCAAAGTAAAATTTGTATCCAGACATTAGTACTTCCTTAAGGACACTGTCATTGAATGGAACTTACTGTGTCTAGATGCACTGGAAAACCCCTTATAAATTAACCGGTACAAAAAAGAGCATGTTCAAAGCGTCTGCAGGCATTTGGAAGTAGCCAGAAGGTAGCAACTATTAGTGCCAAAGAGTCTGGGCTTGGATAACAGTCTATCAGAGCTCCCGGGTCTTGAGGCCAGGCCAGGCAGGTCAAAGATGACTGTACTTCCACACATCAGAATGGCAGTACCAGGAGGGGGAGGAGGATGGAGGTCTCCAGGCCAACTTAGTAAAGCACTGTTATAGTAATTCATTCTTTTCACTTTATTTTAGGCTATGGCAGTTGCCTTTTGAACTATATCCATGTAACTATAATATTAAATAAAGTATTAAACCAAAAAAATCTTCTAAAGAACCTCTTAATGAATTTGAATTATACAAGTTAACAGAATTTTAGCTGTTTAAATAAATATTATTATTAAAAAGTTCTCCATGGTAAAATTCTGGTTTTCCTTTTTCTTTTTTGAAGTACACATTGCTCATTTAGCATATCTGTCATCTAGCCAATCTGCTGGATAAGTGGCCACAGATGGTATTTAAATCACATTCCCCATGTTCCAAGACTATCAATCTCTGTGACCCGAACAATGGACACCAGGGATGAGAATCCCTGCCATTATCGATCATTTGCATGTATAATGCAGTTTTAGAGATGGATATAAATTTTCCATCTCCTGTCAGGACGTGACATACCTAGGAAGCTGTGACACTGAAATAAACCTGCGAAGACTGAAGGACAGCTGAAAGTCTCCGGACAGTTGCTGACATCATACATGCAGGTGTGTGCTACCACTCTGACTTCAGGCAAAAACAGAAGGGCAAGAAAAGCAACAAACATCTTGGAGGCATTTCTTGTCAGAACTGACAGCCAAGAGTCCCACCCAGGATAACCTATACTCACTTTTACACATATAACTTCATGTCCTGAAAATGTAACAATGAGTGGTTCATGAGGAGACGAAATTATCTGCAACCTTAATTTTCTACTCTAAACATAACGAGAAGGCAGAAGGGAAAGGGATTTCAAAAGGTGAATGGTGTTGTGAAGTCACGCCACTTCCTTGGGCGCGACACGAACAGAGCAGAGCAATCCCTCACTGAGACCATGCTGCGTGCAGGAAGCTGTTCAGGGGCAGCAAAAGAAAGCCTGGCTGACCAGATGCCCACTCCTTGCATGGTTTAGCAAATGACCTTGGAGTTGTTGACCATGATCTAAGTCACCAGCAACGAGGCCGCCCCAAAAAACAGGTGCAGTCTCAGACTGCCAAAACAGAGCACCGCAGCCAGAGCATCTCTAAGGGTAACTGAAGCGGGCATTGCGATCCAGGAGCCACTTTTACAAGGAACCTTAAAACCTCCACTCAGCAGGACCGATCAGAGGCCAGGCAAAAAGTCTGGAAAATGTCTCACACAGGCAATGGCCAAGGAAACGAGCAGCATAGAAGAAACAGGAGGAACTGAAGGTCTAGAGAAAAGAGGGTATGGCAGAGGCTTCGATACAGAGGGCAGGGCCTGGGATGGCAGGAGTAATAACATCTGTTACCTCGGCTTCACCAGCACCCTAGGCTCTCCCCACTAACATACAGCACCTGCATTCACTTTCTCTACAGCGCTGATCAATGAGTGACATAAGGCCCAGCCTCTTGCTCGTTTATTGACTATGTGTCCCTAGATGGTGTGGGAGCTCCCGAAGAGCTCCAGTTTTATTTATCACTGTAAGGTCTGTTGCCTGGGACAATGCCTACATGGACTAGGAGTTTCAAGTATTTGCTGAATGAACTCTGGAATTTACGAGGCCCGTTAACAGACATATTATCTCTTTCATAAATAGTTTGATAGAGATATTCTGTTACTTAAGAGAGTAGGACTGTACCACTGGTAATGTTTATATTAGGAAAGCCACTATAAAGACCGGTCCTACAATGAATCCCCACAGTGGGCACTGAGGGAGTCTTCCCCGAAAGGGTTTCAGACAGGCTGGGCGGAAGAGCTCCAGTTTTATTTATCACTGTAAGGTCTGTTGCCTGGGACAATGCCTACATGGACTAGGAGTTTCAAGTATTTGCTGAATGAACTCTGGAATTTACGAGGCCCGTTAACAGACATATTATCTCTTTCATAAATAGTTTGATAGAGATATTCTGTTACTTAAGAGAGTAGGACTGTACCACTGGTAATGTTTATATTATGAAAGCCACTATAAAGACCGGTCCTACAATGAATCCCCACAGTGGGCACTGAGGGAGTCGAGATATTCTGTTACTTAAGAGAGTAGGACTGTACCACTGGTAATGTTTACATTAGGAAAGCCACTATAAAGACCGGTCCTACAATGAATCCCCACAGTGGGCACTGAGGGAGTCTTCCCCGAAAGGGTTTCAGACAGGCTGGGAGATACTGCCTGTCAGCACCCAGAAAGGCCGGCTGCATTGAAGAAGATGCTGGTCTAGCCCAGCTGGCCCAGGGATGCTGCTGCACACTCGGGGCCGGACAAATCACCCATGACAAAGCACTGGCCAGCCCAGATGCTTTGCGCTGTCGTGGCTGCAGAGAAACGCAATGTCAGCTTGATGTGCAGCAACAGATTCTGCAGCCATGTTAGAAGGGTAAAAAGAAACAAGATGAATTTTTGTAATGCGAGTATTACTAAAGACTAAGAGACATAGAGAGGGAGAGGGAGAGAGTGAACAGAGACAGAGAGAGAGAGAGAGAGAGACACTCTCAATAGGGACTCGGGTTGTGATTTCTCCTGCCCTGGGGCCCGCTAGGATCATTGAACACGTGTGCTCCCCAGGTGAGCAGGTTAACCAAGTAAGTGAACCCTAATTCTCCATATGGATACAGCTTTGACTGAATGTGTTACCACTAAGCCACCAAACCAGATTCATTTAACACAATGTGTCTGAAATATTGCCTCACCAGAAATTCATGATGCATTTTTGCATAGAAAAATACGTCACGACTTTCTAGACCTGATATTAGCATTTCAACATGCAGTCAATATAAAAAAATTGAGATATTTTATATTTTTTAATACTGTCTTCAAAATTACTTAAAATTTAGTAGCAAAACTGATTTGTGCTCTAAGTGTATAACACGTGTTTACAAGGAACCTTAATACCCCAAATTTTAAGTCCTGTTGCATTAAGGTATTAAGGTTCCTTGTAAACACGTATTATACACTTAGAACACAAATAAATTTTGCTACTATTTTTTTTTAATTTGACCAGAGAGGGACAGAGTGAGAGAGAGAGGGAAAGTGAGAAAGCAAGGTGCCAGGTCCATGACTTGAACTGGGGTCAGCCATGTGGGAATCCAGTGCCCTTAACCACCACACCACCTGCCGACCCCTAATTTTGCTACTAAATTTGAAGTAATGTGAATGTTTTTATGAAGAGAGATTTTTGCAATAGGGTACATGCAGAGACAGAAAGTGAGATATCACCCCCCAAGGGAATGGTTATGCCTTAATCCCGTCTCGTTCCTCCTCCTCTAGGGATTTTGGGCACACATGCACATGTGCTCAGTGTGATCTTCAAGCTGCTGGGTCCAGGACTCCATGGTCAGGCATAAGGGAGTCCAGTGCCTTAACCACTACACCACCAGCTGGCCCCAGTAAAGTGAAATTTAAGTCTTACCAAAATAAAATTGCATGTAATAGAAGAATATTTCATATTGTTCCATTTTTATAACTTATATTAATTAAAAGTGAAAATTCAGTTTCTCAGTCACACTAGCCAGATTTTAAGTGCTCACAAGTCAGAGGTGGCTCGTGCCTCCTGTACTGGATAGAGTAGAGCTCACTGATTACTTCTAAAAGCAGCGGATTGTATTGTTTGAAGACTGTGGGGAAGAGCAAATAACTGCTAAATCAGAGGAATTGAAAGTCAGCAACAGACAAAAAACAGTCCACAGCCTAACCTAGAAAGTGCTGAATCTGCAGTGCTATTTAAAGAAGCAGAGGGAATATTTTTTTTTAATTAGGTAGCAGATTAATTGTAAAAAGAAAATTGTACTGAAAAAGACTTATTTCTGTATTTTAAAATTTCAGTCCCACACCCAGGGGAAGAAAAAGAGGGAATTTACTAATGATACTGGATGGCAGTGTTATTCCAGGCAGAAATAAGAACAGACGGGAACAGTAATCAGAATTTTCAGGCTGGGAGCACAGATCAGTT